CCGTCCTCATTTAAATGGATTCTCACTACACAGATCTGCCAGCATCCTTTTTTTGTGTCATTCTGCCCTGCACCAAAACTGTCACTGTGGGGACAGGGAGGCTGTGGATGTTTGAGCACATCTTCCATCTGTGCAGGTGCACAGAGAGCTGCCAAAACACTTGCACAAAATACAGGTACCTTGTCTGCCCATAGCTGGGAGAGTTACTCCTGTGTCACTGCCTGCAGTGGGAGCAGGGGAGCTCTTGCAGTGCCAGAGAACCAGCAGAATGAGCTACAGCTGGAGTGTGCTGCTTCCCCAGCCCAGACAGAGGGACAAAGAGGATTTTCTGTTGGTTACACAAGTAAGGCAACAGGAACCCTGGATACCTCCCTGACTGCCATTTTTTTTTTTCCCTGTGTCCTGGGACCGAACGGGCTGAGGACTGGAATGCTTTCTGTAATTTCTTGCTTGGGAAAAGGAGAGCTGCTGCTAGGCAGTGTGCCTGCGTCCTTCAGCAGCAGATGAAGATGGGTTGTTTCAGGAGGATGCCACCTTTTTTTCCTGATGAGGATTGCAGAAGTTCTGCCATGAATGGGATGGTGGCTTCCATGGTGCTAGTCTCACCATCACTAGTTAGCTCTGTGTTCCTGACCTTTGGTAGAAGCAAGTTGGGACAGGGAGAATTAGACAAAGAAAATGTATGTTTTCTTTATTCCAGCAGCATCAAGGCATTCGGTCTAATGAACTCTGAGCTCTACAATGCCAGAAAATAACGTACAAGGGAGAACTGGGAGCTGACAAGGTAGAGATAAGCTGTGGCAGTGCCTCAAACACAAAGCCACGCTGTAGGAATAACGTTGAAGAATTCATACAGGTGGCTTCCCTGGGTCTCCCTAATCCAGTAGATTTCTGAATTCTTCAGGCATGTGAACGAAGTAACGAGGAATATAGAAGAGAATATCAACTGCAACACTGTAATGGTTCTACATACTAAGATGCTTTCCAACATGAAGGAGAAACCCGAGGGATGTGGATTGTTGCACTGAGGTTCCTACAGCACTACCCATGACCCTTTCGTTGTGACAAAGGCTGTAAATAATGAGTTTATTGGAAAAAACTCTCTTGTAGACTTGAAACAGCTAATGCTTGATATCAGTCAAATTATACTTATTTTTTTTTAAATTTGAACAAAACATTCTGTAACAATGCAAAACTGGAAAAAAGTACATAACCACATGTTTAGTTTGGCTTAACTGCGTTCAAATAAAGTGCATGGAGGGAATGGTGAGCTTTGCTAGATGCTCAATTCATTGTGAATGTTATCGAGAGTTGGAGGGGCCACTGGATACTTGCCTTCTGAGTGGGATGGTTTTATTACACTGTGGCTCCAGTTTTGGGTCATGAGTGCTTTTTAATGGTCCGTACAAGCAGGGTGTTTAAAAATTACTTGGTTTTGTTTGTTTTGAGCAACTCTCAGTTGCTAAATGTGATATAATCCAAATTAATCTATGCTGAATTTGGAATGTTCACATATATGTGTCTTTCAACAAAATGACATCTCCCATGTTGTATATGAGAACTCACAACATGTTATTTCTCTCTTAACGCACACACACGCTCACTCTCTCTCTCTCATGTTGAGGATCTGTATGATACTCATAAAATACCAGTAGCTGTAGTATCAAGATAGTGAATATAATTGTGTAAGAAATAGGATTCATGTATAAGCAGATTCTTGTATTCCTGGGTCCCAGTCACTTGCAGACGGTCACACTAGACAATTTCTGATCTCCTTCGACAAGCAGATCCAAAGCCTAGGACTCAGAACTGGAAATGTCTTCTTAGGTCCCAATTCTGCTCCCATTTAAGTCAATGGCAGAACTCTCACTGATTTCAATAAGAGCAGAATTGGGCCCCAAGAAATTGGTCCACAGTAGCAACTAATCTCCTGTGGGTTCACTTTCTCCAACAGACCTTATTGGCATTATGATAACCTGCTAGTCCTGGACATGGACACTCACCGTTTAGCATTGGTGTCAATGACGATCGGCAAGTAGTCCATGACAGCTATGTATACAAACTGTTTCGCATCATCAATAACACTGTATATAGCTTCAATGTCCAGAACTCTGTCCTTTGGGCAGAAGAGTTTAGGTGAATTCTGTGAAAGGAAAAGTTCAAATATGGCATTTAAAATATGTGATTTATTTTCTCTTCCTCTCATTCTTCTTGAGAGGGCAAGTAGCGTCCTTTATTTTAGTGGAGAATATCAACTGATACCTTCAACTGTCCTGCTAGAATACTCAAAGGTACAAAGGAGAGGTATTTGCTTAATTTCCCCTTGAAAGCCTCACCATTTAGATGTTACTGTGGGTAAAATGCAGAAGACACAAGCTTCATAACATCCACTGTCATCAGAGAAGCTCTAGTTGAAGTTACATTTCAGAGAATTTTGTTCCAAAGAGTCCCAGGACTGGTTACTATTAGATGGAGTAACGTGTCTGTTCCTGCCACGTGAGCCTGATCCCCGACTTGTGACCAGGAATTAAGTCAGTTCTGTTTAAAGTTCCACACAAAGTCACCATTTGCTCAGTCACTGTCACAGGGAGATGCTGGAGTTTTGCAAAAAAACTTATCTTTAAAACCTAGCTTCAGGTACAAATTAACTCTTTACCTGGTACTGAGCCAGAAAGTGGGAAGCCCAGATTTCAGCTGTTCTGCCTTGTATCTAGGGCTGTTGAATGTGTCAGTGAGCAAGGTGAAGCCAGCAGTAATCGCCCATCTCTGGCAGAGAGGCCCAGGACTTTGCTCTTCTGCCCACTTAGGGAGAGAGAAGTGGAGCCACCTGCCAAGCTGCTCACAGGCAACACCACAGTTCCTGGGAGCAGAGGTTGTTAAAGGCCATTTATCCAGCCGGAGCAGGTGCCAACGTGCCGTGTGTCCTTTTCTTAACAGCTGGCCCTGCCAGACCCTTGCCCTCCTGCTGCCATATCACCTTCTCACCTTCCTATCTGCTTGGGTTGCAACCGACATCTAGAAGAGTTTGTTTTCTTTAGGGACAGATGCAGGGGATTTGATTAGTCTTTTTTTTTTCTTTTAATACAATACCTGTCACACGGGTTTCTTAATCATGACTGGTGTTCTTAAGGTTTTACTACAACTAAGTTCAGAAGGTACTAGAAAATTAACTGTAGCAAGATTTCAAGACCAATATTCCAGATTCATTCCTGAATGCTAAGAAAAACAACCAAAACCTCTTATATTTTATCAGCCAGTCTGGAAGACGATTTTGTTGCTAAGCAACACTAAGCCACAATTCCCAAGTATAACAAAAAAATGCAATGACCGTGTGTTATGCTTGTTGTTTTATACAGCACAAATGTTGAAAGTGAAATACATTTTCAAAGGATGAGTTTCAATTCAAGAAGATGTGTAAAGTGATTTTGCTAAATATAATTTACGTCTATTATCTGAAACTTTTAGGAGGCTATCACATTGAGATTTTCTTCTTATACTCGTACTATATTCTTGAATAGAAGTTTTAAGTTACAGAACAGCTAAAGAAAGGAATTCTTACACATTGTCTTTTTCAGATGTGTCCACTATAAAGACCAGAAAGTGAAAGACATTTAGAAGATAATTAGAAGAAAAACTTCTGTTGAAGCTCTCACTGTAACACTTGTGTTCAGGCATTCCACTTGTTACCCTGTGGCACAGCTGACCCCTGCCATGGCCATACAATATTTTAGTACTTCTCTCCATATTAGTTGTATAGTACTTGCTGTTCTGATCAAATACCTATTGATTCTTCTCTTCACCTACCAGAAACAGCCCTTTAGTCTCACTGGGCAAGACTACCTTGCCATGCCCCTGCTCAGCGAGGTGTGTCATCCCAGACCAAAAGGGAGGCAATGCAGGGCTGAGGCAAGGCCAGCACCCCCAAAGCTCTTGGAGCTGGACCTCACTGATCTGAGCTTCTGAGTACCAGTGATTCCTTCCTTTTGTTTTCTGAAGGGGAATTTCAAGAGAAGAGGCTTTTGTTGCCCACAGAAAGGGAAAATACAAATCCCAGGGAGGATGTGAACGTTCTGCAAACTGCAGAAGAGCAGTTTTTTTGTAGAGTCTCTCTTCACCTGTCTTTGTATAGGATCCCAGATTCCTTGAAGTTGGCCTTACCCAGCTTTCCTTACTGTGTGCCCCTCCAGGACTGTCTTTCAGCAGGCTTTCTCCATTTCTTACAGATTGCTTAGAAGGGAGTAGGAGTTCATTTCACAGCTCCTTAGCTAACTGCCCGAAAGTCAGTCTCTAATTTAAGCTAGTCCTTAAGACTCTCCAGAATCAATGGAAGCGTATGTCTCTTCAGATGGCTATTAATTCTGGCTATCTTAGGCACTTCCACATTTTCACTCCAAAATAGCTCTCTGTCTCCCCACTGATGGTAGGAGTGTGAAAAATCCTGGATGCCTGAATGTTGTCTGACTCCCAGCAGGTGAAGGTAAACCCTGCCCTGTGTAACCACTCATCTACACCAAAACCGTGTGCTAGTGGCTGTACAGCTTAACAGTGTGCTACATGCCTTGCATTGTTTTAGACACAACTGGCTATAAAGCAATGGGGGTTTGCCCCTTGTTTTATACAGAATGGTAAATAACTCTTAGCAACTTCATTACATTCCTCATTTTGAAGGGGTTGTTGTTACTTATGCAATTACCTCCAAAATGAAAGACACTCCACATCATCATCATCTCTGTTGCTCTGTGTACTTTTTTCCAGTTTTGCTACATCACTGCTGAGATGGAGGACTGCTCCATTTCTTCCCATTAAAAATACACACACAGACAGTGTTTCCATAGGGATTGCTGCTTGAATTTTAGAAGTTTTTAAATGTCGTTTAAAAATAAAGCTAAAGTAGATGATGATCTACAGAATTATGAATGCTTTCAATGAAAGAGGGTAAAGAGGGTTAATCCTTATAAATTACGTTGACAAAAATGCAAGCTCTGATATCGAGCTTATTCTGTATCATTTTAGATGGCTGATTACAGTTCATTTACTCCCAAGTCATTCACCTTCTATCTACTAGTGTAAATAAATAACCTAATTTGAAGGGCCTCCCTATTGTTTTTTGAACATTAGAGGAAAAGCAGTGAACATTACAGAGAGGGGGGAAAAAATAATGCTCGAATGAAATCCTGCAGCATCTTCAGTCCTAGCAAACTGCATGTATGAATAATGTCACAGAAATCAGAATGAAGAAAAAATATATTGTGATTTGTCTGTTCTGCACCACAGGAAAAGGCAAATAACTAAAAAACCATTTCAGTTACACACTTCCCCATGAAAGTATATCTATAGGAATAACTGTTTTCCTAGACAACAGAATGATTTGGTTTTCCAGCATTATGAGACTATCAAACAAGTTCTGTCTTGCATAGGTGACAGCTGGAGTGGTCTTATCTCTGTAGCTGAGTTTCCACTTGCACGAATCTCAACGTTGGTAGCTGCTTTTGAGCAGCTGTCTGCTATTAAGGACATAGCAGTAACGTGCATCTTCTTCACTTAGGGCCAATTTAGAGAGATACTTAAGCCTAGGCTTAAATTACACCATATATGTTCCTATTCATGGAGATTACTTTCCATGGTAATTTCTCCCTGACAGATACTGTCACGCAGCATTATGATGGATTTATTGCGGGGAACTGTGAACATCTCTGTATCAGCGCAGAGACACTTGAGATTCTGTCACAGATGCTACTAACACCTACCTAACCTGGTCTCACTGATCTGTAGTTCACAAACGACAATATTACGAGAGTAAGCAGATGTTAAATTTCCAGGTCTTCCAAAAATCTGGTGGGTTAAATAAGTTTCTTCCCTCCCTTTCTGCAACTCATTTCAGAACTTACCGACACAAAAGCTTCTGATTTTGTCTCGTTCAGCTGCAGTGTGAGTTTATTCTGAGTATCGTACACTCCATATAGTCTCTTAGACCAGCTCGGTGGTATTTTATTCTTGTATCTTAATGAGCTATACAGGGCAAATATCCTTTGTAAATCCAGGACCAGGCAGCTGCAGTTGTATACGATGACGCCAAGTTCCTTCATCTGTGAAATTAAAAGTTCATATCATTAGTGATGCTTTGGCTGATGGATCTCTGTAAGTACGCAGCAAAAACGTAAAGGTGTCTGATGGGTGTCTTCTAGACGCGTGCCTTGAGTTCAGCGGTAGTACTATTGACCACAAGAACATTCCTACCAATACCCTTTTAAATGCAAACATATAAGTGAAATCTTCAAAGTTAAGAGTGGGCAAAAGCTGTAACTGTATGTTCAGCTGTAACATACAAATATGTTCGGTGAATGTCAGAGCTGTGTGTCCTGATAGAATACAACACACCTATGGACACAGCGTAGGGGTGATACCCATTTGTCATAGGCACCATCTTTATTTAGGTGTTGCCCAAGGTTTACTACTCCTGGCTACAGTGGTTTTAATTTCTTTATTATTTTTATGTTATTTTGTTTATAGGAAAAGCATCCTTTCTGCTGGATGATGTAGGAGCACACACTGCTACCAGTGACAGTTTCTTACTTCAGAAACAATTTGTTTTCTGTGAGTTCTGGAAAAGGTAAAAGAAATGGACTTAAGTTATTTCCATGTTGGAGATTTCCATGTTGGAGAAGCTTCAAGTAAGAGGATGAAAAAACAGGTGTTTAATACTATCAGTAGCTAAATTTACCATGCTATTAAATCCAGCATGTTCTCGTTTATAATATATCCAATTAGGACACAAAAAAGTTGGGTTATTAACACTCCCATTGCTATGGTATGGTATCTCACCTGGGGTATGCCAAATTTCTAGGTGTCAGTTTATTCACATGTAAAAATTGAGATAATGATACTCTTCTCTCATGAAAAATACTCTGTAAGCATCAACATTCTCACATACAAAGTATAAGGAAAAATAGTCCAAGTAAATATAGACATCATAGTAAAATTAAATGCTTTAACCTATGCACACAGTCTCACTTCTCTATTTACGTGAAGGCATGTCTCCTGGTCATCATAAATCTTGGTTTGGCAGAGATTTCATTAATTGCACATCCCTAGTACTTAAGTTGTTGACAGAATTTAATTTATAAACAGACTGTCTGGCTTCTGTTATCAAAGTGTTACCACACACACACTCTCTCCCTTCCTTGGCTTTATAATAGCTCAGGAAAGCACTGCTGTGGGCACAGATGCTATTGACCTCTCATTATCTGCATTTCACACTAGTTCAGCCATCTCCAAAAATAAAGTGAGAAGAAAACCTGCATTTATCTGTTGGAAAACAGTATGTAGGATAACTATTTAAAGGATCCATGCTGGTTTTCTGCAAGCAAACTCTCTTGGTAGCACGTCTCAGAAGTCTTCCTGGTATGATGAAGAAAATAAAGTGAGTACAAACTCCAGCATGCTCATGCTTTGACATCAACAAATCCCCACTGGTTTTACTCCGTTAGGTGAGATCTCCACAGGCACATGGAGTAGTTTCTGGTAGAAGCATATCTTTCTGTAAAGCCTGTGGGAACTCTGAACCCCACACTAGCCTTATCTCAAAGCTTGTTCCTGCGCAGTTCTCCCTGACTGCAGATGAGAACTACTCTGCAAGAGTGGGCAGAGGAAGGGAAGCAAAGGATGGAATTGAAGCTTCACTGTCTGTGGTGGGTGAGAGGACACAACAAATCCCAATACTCCAATGAGAAAGAAACTCAATGGGTGACCCCTTCTTCAGGTCCCCGACCTGGAAAAATCATGTGCATAAGAATATACAACCCTGAGCGATCTCATTTCCAAATATTTACTGAATAGTTGCAATCACAAGAACATTACCTACTATTCTTACTGCCTAAATCAGAAAGCTTCTGCAAGCTTCTTTAATTCAGAAACAATACGGAATTCCTCCATTACCTTGCGCAACCTGAAACTTGTGGGTAATTAGAAAATACAGACTACTTGCTGCAGTGCAGCCTTTCATTTATGGATAAGTAAATTAATTTTGATGATAAAGACAAATTATTCCAATGTATGCCCAACATCCTAGTCAAACTGTCTATTTGGAATAACATCTTTGTTTTTTCCCCTGGACGCTGGTATCTTTGAGGATGTTCCTGTATTCAGTTCTAGGCTGTCCCTATATTCCATGCACTGTTTGTCTCCAAACATTTTTAACTATACATTATCACTGTTTTCACTGTGGCTGCCAATACCGCTCTTTTAATTGCCAGGCATACCATTGCGAAGGACTTACTATTAGTACTCTGTTACATGTAGCTGCATAATGTAGTTTAATCGGCTTTTCATGGCTGTTAGTTTGATTCTGACATAATTATGTGGTTACAGTTTTCCTTTCATTTATCAGTCCCATTATTAATGACTCCACTTTATCCCTTCCATTAAAAGTAAAGATAAAATAGTGTCCTCACAGCACACCAGAGCTGCCAAAATTGCATCTGTGTGAGCAGCTTTCCTCGAAACAGGAGTGTTTGCTTGTCTTCTCCCTATGAATTAAAGGATGCCCTTCTGCCTAAGCGCCTCCTCAAATAGAGATAGAGAAGAAGCCAGGGGCACTAATGGCTTTTTTTTAAGTACAGTTTTTACAGATCACCTCTGAGCCTGACTGTGAAGCAAAGCGTTAGCCATGCCTTACCGCCAGCCTCTCCCCGTGAACAGAAGCACACAGGGACCGGCCCGTTTTGCACAGGAACTTGACCCTCTTGTGGGAGTGGGCGTCTGCCGGAGCCGAGGTGGTGTCCTGGCCAAGGCCCTGCCACTCACCCACTCGCAGCAGTTATACTCGAATCGCAGACTGGAATGAAGCCATTTCAAGAGATGTATTTACAGCGCAGTGATGAACCCTGCCTTCCCACGGCGTTGCGTCTTGCAGTTGGCTTCCCTGGCGGCAAGCACTGATCAAAGCTTTTCCTGCTTCTGATGCCGTGATAAGAGCTCTCCCTCACATGGCTTCCCTGGTACATGATACAGACCAGGCTCCTCCTTTCTCTCTCTGGGAAAACACAGTTATCCTCTTTACCAAGCTGCCTGTTTTCATTAAGCTTTTATGAACTTAAGTTGACATTTGACTGAACCTGAAAAGTAGATTCAAAGTTAATGGAAGAGGGCAGACAGCGACAGTGATGCTTATTGTGTAGACCTCATTTTCTTCGGAAACCAGGTTAGATGTCAGCCTGTCACCTCATGACCATCTTGGTTTACATATGATACATCAACTTAAAATGAAAATAATACGAGCAGTGCACACATACATGCAGTAAAATCCCAGTCATCTCCTTTCTTGTAGAACAGCCTCAATAGGTTTGGAGACCAAAAAGTACTCTGTCTCAGAAGCGTCTTCCACACTGAGCCTATTTTTACTCCCATAGTCTGAGGTAAGGAGAGACTGTTCTTTTTCCAACTAATCAAAAAGCCTATCATCCTAGAGGCAGTGCAGAGAGGGAGCAGCAAGGATGCACTAGTGACAGATTTAGTATGAAGTGGTATATCATCCAGATAAGGGAAAAGACTTTCTCTTTGGTTTGAAAGCTACTGTTATTGCAGACTTTTTTCTAAATAGTCTCAGAGGAGAAGCAGAAAAAAAAAATTATATTGAAAGAATCAAAATCTGAGTTTGCTGCCTGGCTTGTAGTGACTGAAACCTGCAGCTAAGCATCAATCTAAAATATCTGTTCATGGTAAAATCCTTCAGGGCAAGAGCTCTTAAGGCAAGGGAATATTTCTTCATCCTGAGTTTTAAAAGCAGCTCCTACAGTAATGAAAACATCACTGAAAAATTAAAGTGAAGAAGATCTCAAGAAACCAAAATCATAATAAAACTAAGGAAGATAAATCTGTAATGAAAACAAAGTCACAAATTTGATTATCTCAAAATGGAATTGAAATAAAACCACAGAGTTGCTTGTGAGTGACATTTTCAGGGCATGTTCTGGGGGCTGGGGACAGGAATGGTTTTCTGGATAGAGATTTTTGTGTCCTTTACGAGCAGGTTTCCTTTCCTTTTTGTTAAGAAGACCATGAGTGCTCTTCTCAAAGAATGAAAAGCATGGGAGCTGGTTGCCCTTGTCTTCCCCATGCCATTTACATTTGTGCACAGACACTATTAAAGGCTACCAAATCACCATTCGTCTTTCTTGCCAGTAAGGGCTTTCTTAAAGCACCAGAGAAGTGAATGGCTACATAAGACTCAAGAAACGGTGGCTTAAACCCACTGTACAATGATGCTCTAACTACAGAAATCAGTTAAGCTACAAAAAGAATAAATATGGCCTAGCTAGAAAAATAGTGATTTTTATGACAAGAGAAGGAATTCCTTACTAGACTGGATAAAGAGCAGGATTTCAGAGACAGGAATTTTTGCCCATTCTTTTCCTTTGTACATTTATAGGCAGCATATACAAAATGAAAAAAACCATGGGAAAATAACCTAAACAATACAGGTTGTGGGCCCATAACACTGTAAGCTTCCTAAACTGAGAAACTGTAACCAAGACTTTTCAAATACGTTTGGATCATGGGTTAGACAGGGTGTACGAGGTGTCCTTATCCTGCACCATGCAGACCAGACAGTGCATTTTATATTTACCTTGAGCTACACTCTATGAGACAACCCCACTGTGTAAGCAAGGTACTATTTGACCTACATAAGAGTGGCACAATCTGGTTCACAGCTTGCAATATCTGAATTGTGGCAAACATAGCAGGAGGATTTAGAAAACTCCATGTTAATTTCTTTTAAAGAAAGAGTTTTTAGTAATTGCTCACACTTGGGCCTGATCCTGAAAACTATAAGCAGCTCTCCTCGGGCATTAACTGCTATTTGCCAAAAAGCTCTGGCCACCAGCAGGTGCCAGGCATCCACTACCTGTGCTACAGAAACTGGATTAACTGCAGGTAGTCTATTGCACACTAAATTTACTAAGTAGACTTTTTACATACAGGACTGTGTGTGCATCTGCCATTTGAAAATGTATTTAATTATGCTTTGAAACCTATGATTTTTTTTTTTTTTAGTGATCGATTTCCAAATGACTGACCGAGCAAAACC